AATGCACAGCAAACAACACTCAGTAAACAATCAGGTTTTCTGTAATCTTTCTTGCCACTTTTGTTAGTGGTCCATGATGTCTGCAATAAACAAATGATTTCTTTTGAAGATCTTCAAACTTCCCATGGTCTCATGAGGTCTATTTTTTTTTCATATCCCCGGCTAAAATACTTCATAAGTTTCCAGATCTGTGGGTAGCTTAAGTTAAGTTTAACACAGTCTCTTCTCAGAAAATAAATATTAGATGTGGCAGGTGTCAGCAGGGGACAGATCTCTATGTTACATAAGATCTTTGATCAACACAGAAATCATGGTAGGAGAGAAACTGAAAGAAAATCCAGGAAGGTCTCAGTGGATTTGCCACTGAAGAGGACAAATGGAGAAGAAGAAGAAACAGAATAAAATATATTTCTAATGCTCTGCATATCTCTAAGACTCAATACAAAACCATTCATATGCTTTATAATTAATTGCCTGCACTTGAGATAGAAATGTGTCCCAGAATCCCATTTCATATGTAAGGCATCCCTGGTGAATGTGGCTCCATTGTTGGTAGTTTTGATGCCAACTGGTTCTTTCTCAGATGAGCTACCTTCTTTCCCACTTTAGCACTAAGTAGAATCTCTCTCAAGGATCTGAGGTAAAGAAAGGCCCCTATTTGTGTTCATTTAGGGCAAGGAGTTGTATCTTTGTTCGCTAAATTCAGGCTGATCCACCTGCAGTGACTTTAGGGAGATCTGTTTTGTTTAATACTTTGACTGAGATTCTGCTGTGCTTCAAGAACTTGTGTCACAGAAAGCATGGCCAGTGAGAAGTAGGGCAAAAGGAAGTTTTAAGCAGTCTTTGCACCTGCAGATTCTGGATGGTTAAATGGACTCCTCTAATTCAGAGAAATCTCCATAAAACTGACTGTGAATTGTTCTGCACACCACAGAAGCACAGATCAGGGGGGCTGGACCTGAGGATCTTGAGAGGTCACTCCCAGCCACTAACATCTATGAATACTTCCTACCACACTGTCATACGGATCAACTCTATCTGCACCTGGCACACCTGAATTTGTGATGAGGGGCAGTTTTGGGCTGCCAAGTGCTATATAGGAGACAGAAGGGAGCAGAACTCCTCCCTCTGTTTAAATTCTGGAGGACATTCAAGTATGATCATAAATGAGACCTCAAATTTGTATGAGGTTTGGAAGCTTTTCTGTACTCTGTCCTTGACATCCTACAGGGTTTGCTGAACTGCATCTGGATAATGCTGCAGTTTACCATTCAGAATTCCAGGTTCATTTGTACCAACATAATGCTGGTGTCAAAAGAATAGCAGATTACAAGTAATCCACAACAAGCACACTTTCCCCAGGTTCCCAGAGAGCAAGAACAGCTGACCTGCTCACCATCATAGAAGAAACAAGTGACAGTATGATATTGCACCTGCATTCCCCAGGTTCTCGACTTAGCACCTTTACCTCTGGACCATCCTTCCTTACTGGAGTGCCAGGTATGCAGTTTAGGCATTAGGCTAAAGCACTAACCCATGCACTTGTCCACAGAACAGCAGACTCAACTCATTTATGAAACGTTATGTATATATTTAAATAGTTGTAGGGCAGGCTCGCTGAGGAAGCAGAGGAAGGTGGATGCTATGGCTGTTAAAAAAGAAAAGGAAGACTTTTTTCCATTTTTTGCAGAGCTGCCAATTTCTATCATTGAGATTTTGACAATAAAACAGAATGCAACAAACCCAGGGTTTATGGCTACATTTCGTGCTAACACAGCTCATGTTTAATTAACATTTTACTGAACCAATATAAGCAATACACAGGCCCCCCAACCCTGGCATATATTCTTCTTTTTGGTGTTTCATCTGTACTAAGATCACAGTGCTGATTTGGTGATAAAATTCTTCTGGGAGGAGATTGTCATGTCATAAAAGTAAGATTGTGATGCCTGATCAGAACAAAACAACAGTGGTTTGCAGAAAGGTGGGATAAAGGGTCCATAAAGAGAATAAGTTATCTCCACAGTTTTCTTTTAAATGACAGTACCTCCTCCATTACCAGTGGCCTTAATAGCACTAGTATTATTATTAGCAAAAACAGAGTACAGTATTGTGCAATTCATTTTATTGTACCACCCAAAAGTATTAGGCAGTCTGAAGACATACAGGCAGAAGAGGTCCTGGCCCTGTAGAAACCACATTGTGAATAAATAAGAGAGACATGAAAGGTAGAAAAAAAGTGATACAGCCTATAATCAGAGTGATCACAGGGACAGGGTTTGGGTTGGAAGATTATCATTTATATGAAGTACCTTTAATGAGAGCTTCTTTAGTCAGAGACACTCTCTAAAAATATACCAATTTGTTTATGACTAAGTGTGGCCCAAGTTCCTGGTGATAATAGTTATGTAATATGGATTCCACAAGGTGGCAAGAATAATTCCTGCTGTCTTTGTTCATTTCTTGCCTTGTACTGTACAACATTTGTGCTCATTAACCAATTAGTCTTTGCAAAGCCACGGTAAGGAGTGCAGAACTATTATCCCCCCGGTGCACATAGAGGAAATAAGGCACAAAGAGTTTTTCAGAGGCAGGATTAGAGACCAGGAATTTCTAGCTAGTAGTCCCATGCTCAGTCCTTCAGGCAAAGCTGCCTCTCACTAACTCAGCTGGTTCAAGAATGACTCTGTAGAGCTAAAACACAGAACATGCTCCAGGACAGCCAGAAAATGGAAGTCACTTCTGAAAATACTGGCATATGTTTTTGCCTAAGTTAAGGGGGAGAATTTTTGTTCCTGTTTTTCCTGAGTGACTGAATACATCCTGGTTATTAAGGAAGTGTCTATAAACTGTTAGCCAGTGTTCACTTGCATTAACCCTGTTGTTAAATTGTAGATAAACACAGCCATTACTATGAGCACCCATGCTTTATAAATGAGAAAAATGAATCTCTGTGGCTACATTTTTTATACTTATGTTAGCATGTTCGGATTTAAGTCTTTAGTTAGATCTTTGCATATTTTGAGAAAGTCCCAGAACGTCATATTTCAGTGATTCAGGGAGTGTTGAAATACTGTCTTGTGGGTGGACAGCATGTTGCAACTGGACCCAGAAAAATTCAGGTATGATCCAACATAAGAACAGTGTCTATTAAAAGCATATGGAGCCTGATTCACTAGCTGTAAAATAAAAAAAAAGAAATGTAAGAGTTGAGGTAGGGAGGAATTGAGACAGCCCTCTCTTTTGTGTAATGCAATGTAAGGAAAGGGTTAAACATTCTGGAGCAGCCGAGCTGATGTTCAAGCTACTGCAGGTGCACCCACCAAAAGGGTGTTAATTGGTTAGTAAATGAGAATATATAGGGAGCTCTGTGGCGGTGAGGGATTTTCTTGTATGTAAGGGTCAATGAAGGAATAAGATCAGTGTAGGGGGCAATAAGAGGAACTGAAAAAAACAGAAGTTTAGTTCTGTGCTGCTTTGTTACATATGGTTTTTAGAAGGCTTTAAAGTTCAAGAAGTTGAGCTACAAATGGATTCTGGCTGACAAGAGGGGGATTATGTAAGCTTAGGAATCTATCATAGCTTTATTAATACTGGGAAACATCCAAAATAGTAGCAGGATTCTGCTACATTCTCAGGTTTCCTAGGCACTTGCAAAACCTTGCAGTTTACTCATCAGTCCATCATGCTTCGAAGATGTCTTAACTATAGATATCTGGGATCATCAAATTTCCTTCTAGGATTTTCTCTCAACTATGTCTTGTTTCTAATGCATGTTCAGATGGGAAGAAAATGTAAGAACATCCTGCTGCTTCATTTTCAGTAGTCTCTCAGTAATCTCTCAACACTGTTTCTGAAAGTGGACATCAAGGTCAATCTATGGGAACTATAGACTAGGAGGGAAGCTTTGGGTTCAGTGGACACCTGGTATCTGACAACGATTTAAGGATGTTTCAAATTACTTATGAGAGAGGATGGGGAAAATATTACACTCTAGGCATGTATGATAGCAAGACAACTGAAAAAGGAAACTAAACGTCTCAATGTTCTTACTACACAGCAAATGCAGGCTGACGGTCTATAATACACTTTATGGGAAAAGTCCTCTTTTTTTCTTAATCTGCCTTTCAACCATCCAAATGATCATTTTACTGTAAGAATATTTTTACCACTGAAATTTCTTCTGCTCTTGTCATTACATCTTTAGAAACCACACCAAATTCTTCTGTCTCTTTAGAGTTTCCACCTTTCAGTTATTTCTATTGTTACTCAGTCCCCTCATGACAGACAGACTCGGTTCTGTTTCTGAAAGTGTACACTAAATATCCTATAAAGCAAAAACTTTTGTAGGATGGCACAGACTTACAGACATTCTTTTTTGGCTTTTACTATTCTTAAGTTAATGAGGGATACTATGGATTTAAATTTTCATGAATGGGTCATCTTAAGCTAAACCACTTTTGAATACAAATGCAAATACTGGAGGTGGCAGAAGACTCCTCACTATTCAGCACAATGGTTTTAAGTTGAATTCCACTTGTAAATACCAGGTTACTAAAAAGCCCATTCTGTTTTCTACAGCATGGGGGGCTGAAAGAGAGTCTTCAGCTTTACTGGTGTGAATTCATGGCACAACCATGAATATTAATATTGGCACTCTGTATCTGTCCTCGTGATTATTGAGAGGGAATGTCCATTTTTGTAAAAGGATGGCATGCTCTTTATTCTGTATGCAGCTCGCACATACCATTTGAATTAAACTGTGAATGTTCTGGGTAGGAGAGAGGCATTTACAGATTATCAACTGTTTGCTCAGGAAAGGAAAAAGTAAACCCCAAGGGCAGCATGATAAATGGCAGAAACCTCATGCTTAATAAACCCATACAGAAGGAGAGCTATTAAATTACCCAGCTTCAGTAGCTGCTAGAAGCCCCTTGGCAGGAAATCCTGTTGCGCAGATCTTTGTTTTCCTGTTACTTCCTTTTGCAGTGTTATTTTTTCATCAGAAACAATCAATCTCATGAGCTCTGCGAAGGGTTTAAAGGACTTTCTTTTTTTGTGCTCCTTGACTTTTTGTTTTGTTCCCAAGGTCCTTTTTATAGATCCAAGAGCTGTTCAAGACAGTTTCTCCCAGACACTTCTAGTGCTCTTTTTGCTCACTCAGGGAAATCTGTAAGTATTCGCATTCCAAGCTGAGTTTTCTGTGACTTACGGCATTAAGTGTTCTGTAAGGGGAGCGTGAAATGTGAAGGAGACTCTGAAAAAGAAAAGGATGATGAATCCTGGTAAATGTAGACAGGTAGGGCAAAGACTTTTTTACTGGAGTTCAGATCAGAGAAGTCCTTAAAGGAAACTTGCTTTGATTTTTTTTCCTTTCCCAAAAGCACTTTGAGGTGTGCTGTTCTGATTTATTTCTCAGCTGTACTGGGGACAAAACACTTGTTTGAGCTGAAGCTGAGATCTTATGGTGCGGCATAGTAGGAGAGATGTGTTTGCTTCTGTGCACGTGTATCCATACAATGTTCACCTGGCGGAAACCTATGATTTTCTCTCTCTCTCTCTGGCTTGAAAACGAGAACATTCCAGTTGACACCTAACTATATGGCATACCTCTAATAGAAAGATAGCCTCTACAGCATGCAGAAGTCTGTGACCTTAACTCTCCTTACATCCAGAATGCTCAAAAGCAAAAGACAGAATTTCTACAATATGGGAACAATTGTGTAGCCAATCAACAGTAATTACATGTTATGCATGTGCTGCTTTTACAAATGAGAGCTTATTATCGCTTAAGTTGATAAGTTCATGTAAGTTTTATGTAGCTGGACAGTTTTAAAAATGGAAGCAGAGCTACAATCCTTAGTGTTGTGTAGCAGAAAATATTGAGCCGGGGGCAGGGGACTCGTGGCTCAAAAGCTGTAGAGAGGTGCTCAGACCACCTGAAGGTACAACTAAATGCAATGCTTTGCTTCTGCAAAGATCAAGCTCCCACTGTTTCAGGCTGCTGAAAGAGAGGATCTTGGAGCAGAAAAGTGACACTGCCTGAGGGATACTCCCTTGCATGTCAGGACTTCTAAATCCAGTTAGGCCTTTTGGAAGGACCATGAAATTAGTGTAATCTCTCTAGCTTCCTATAAATGGTTCTCTGTAGGCTCTTCTGTCACTTTTGCTTAGACGTACGCTTAGTGAATAGCAAATCTAGTTAAAACTGTCCTGTTTCTTCCAAGAAGTGCTGTTCAGTACAGTAGTACTTTGTCAAATTAATCAGATATGAGAGCAAAATTAACCCTAGTGCTCAAAAGAATTTTGATACTTTGTTGCTCAAACTCCATAAGAGTTATTTCTGGATTTCCACAGTCATTCCTACCCGCACCTTCATAAATAGGGGCCTACTTAAATCACGGTTTCACGATTTTGGCAGAAACCACAAAAAATGGCAGTCTGTGATCACTGCAAAAAAAGGCATCGGCTGCAGCTTCCCAGAAAATCAGCCCAAAAACCCAAAACAAACTTAATAAAAATAAAATGCTGGCTCCCCAATGGGAGGCAGAGGTTCTTGTTACCATGGCCAAAACTTGCAGCCTGCCTGGGAAGGCACCAGCAGGCAGGACAGCAGAAAGGGAAGCTGCCAAATGGCAATTGCCCCGTCATGCCTCTCCGCCAATCAGTGCCAAGGGGCAGGGCTACACAAAGGGCAGCCAGTAGTCAAGATGGTGGCTGTGCCCTCATCCCTCCTCCCTTCCCCCCCGCCAGGCCTCTCTGCCAATCAGTGCTGAGAGGTGGGGCTGCCACAAAATGACTGCAAAATCGGCTCTTTGTGCTGTGACCAAGCCATGAAAATGGCTTTCTCTTGATGCAAGTTAGGTGGGTCCCTATTCATAGCACACCCTGCTATTTACCTTGCAAAACCAGATACTGCACATTTTTCAAATTTTTATCAGATACACAATGAACACCAGCACATACTATACCTAGGGAGGTCCTTTACATCCTCAGATGATCCAAGTGTGCTTCCATTGCTATTTAGTTTTTGTGCTCATCACACAAGATAAATATAACCCCACTCAAACAAAATGCAATTTATTTTTTTCAATAAAGCTTAAATAAGAGACAATATATTGCTCAACGTAATAATAGAACCTATATATTGCTAAAAGTATTAAAAAAAGTTTTAATGATTGTCCTAGAATGTTTTCTTAAACGTGTTCTTGTATTTCACCTTAGTATTTGCAGCAAGAGCTTTGAGAGTCTAATGCATTGTTTCTCAACCCATGGGTCACAAAAGTGGGTCACAAGAATATATGAAAGGGTTGCAAATGAACTTTAAAAATGGATTCTCCTTTTAAAGGAGAAAAAGGTGGGGATCCATGGCTTTTCCCTTACAGGTTATCAGACTTCCACCCTGGGGCTGCCGATGCCCCACACATCCACTCCCTGTCCCACACATTGTGGGGCATGGGCCTGGGGGTGGGGGCCAGCGTGTCAGGAGTGAGGGGCACTGGGTAAAGACTGGCCATCGATGTTTACAAATGGGTCCTGGTACAAAAAAGGTTGAGAACCACTGCTCTAATTCATCTACTTATGCCTCTTTTTCCTCCATCCTCCCCAAATGGAACATAGGTCATGTTTGACATAACCTGGAGAACTAGGAAAAGCTGAAGTCCTTTTAACTGTAATGTATATAATTATACCTCTGTGGTGAGGAGTACATCATAAAATGCATGCTATATGAATAATATATTCATCAAGTTTAATTAAATTTCCTGCAGTTTTACATTTTTGACCACTGTGCACATTAACAAATGAATTGTGTGCAAAAAACCAACAACCCATACAATTGCATACAAAGCTTTTGATCTGTATTACAGTTCAGAAGTCCATAAGGAGGAAAGCTACTATTATCACAATACAGTTGGCTGAATAAAAGTTACAGTATTTAAAAAGAGATTAGGTATTAAAAGGCAAGATGGAAAAGAATTAATTTCCTGGCTATACTGTTCTGGTTTCTCAAATTAAGAGGAGCTGAAATACAACTGATGGTGGAACAAGTAATGCAATAATTTTTTTTTCTATTTTTGCTTAAAAGCAAGGACCCTGTAAGATTTCTTATTTTAGTATCAATCTATTCAGAATTTTACCCACTTACAGACTATTTTTGAGGCTGTGTATTCTTATTCAATATTTCTCCAGGCAAGAAGGGACTTTAACATTTAGCATTAAGAAGTATATTGCTCTGTTATACCTGGGAGTTTGCACGCCAGATCAGTCCTAAAGTTTAACTATAACATGTAACTTTTGTGTTTTTACAAATTTTTTTCCCAACCTTTGACAGATTTACCAGTCCTTCCTAAAGAAACATACCTATTCCTTATTGTTGAACTAAAATTATTAGTAAGCTCTTGCTTGTAAGCATTTCCAAATGTCTGTAAGAACTATATTATATATGTCTCTATCTGTTGTCAGCATGACTTCAGCACTGAATAACCAAGCTAGTATACCCCAGCAAGTACACTGCACTCTATCCCTCATAGCTGTATGAAAAATAAGCTTTTTTTTCCTGTAGGAGTATTTATAATGCATATCAACACTTCAAAGTAGGACCATAAATGAAGAAAATGAATAATACTCAAAGCTAAAAGTTTATTGTCAATAAGAAGATGTATTTTGATGCAATAGTGGATCATCCCAAACCAACATGAATACAGGATTAATTTGCATGATTTTTTTATCTTATTTTACAGACTGTCTTCAAGATACATCCCAATATCATCATTTGCTCCAAATAACTGTATGTACCAAGCAAACCCTCTGTAGTGTATCAGGCAGTGTTGTCTATACAATTATTTATAAGAGAGGTGGAATCTAAAAGACTTTTAATCTATGTATCACTATTCAGGCGCACTCTGTCTGCCAATCGACTACCACTGAAAAAAACAGTAAATTCAACTGCACAGTTGATTCTTGCTTTTCACTAGTAATGCAGTCATTCAGCTATCATAGCTAAAGAGTCTCAAATTGATGGCAAATAGGTTCTCACTCAAAAAATCCCAAGACAGAAGTATCACATTTAAAAAACCATGAACAGTATGAAGTGACAAGATAGCCATGTGTTACCAGGGACCATTCTGGTCCTGAAGATACCTCCTAAGTACACAAAATAACAGTTAAAAAATCCTGTAGGACAAACCTACTGTGCAATACAATATGCTGGGTATGTCCTGACATTCTCTTGATGTCAATGAAATACAATAAAAGAGAGAGTGCCGTGGAAGACTAGCAGGGATAACATTCAAGTGGCAATGTACTTTACAGAAAATGTAGTTGATTACAAGTACAGCTATGGCCTCTGAAAACCTTTCACAAATCTAGCAACACACGGAGGACTTGACCCACATGCATAATGTTCTTGCAGTCTTGTCCAAATTCAAGCAGATGCTATGTGTAAGGACAAGTAAGGTTAAGTGCTAGACACAGTTTTACGTTGAGCATTAATAAGTTTTTACACCTCTACAGAACAGCCTCCTTACTTGCAAATATGCCCAAAAAAGGGATGGGAGTCAAGAATGTGACGGGCAGATTTTGAGATGTGTTTAATTATCAGTAGGCACATAGTGACATGCTTTCTGCTTTGACCTTACTCTCGTTAGGTAACCAGGATTCCCTCAGTTACATAGCAGCACCTTCTTAATACAGGATTAAGAGTCTCCCACATCATTCATTAATTTTTATTACGTGTGTTCATGTGCAATCCTTTATGTACATTTGTGGGACCAATCCCCAAATTTCCATTGCTATATATTTGATATTGTACTGATAGTAGCTATTTAAAAAGGAAGACCTAAAAATAACTTGGAATGTAAACAGCTCCTTATGACTGCTACAGTCTTAAAATTAACCAATATGCAGGAAAAAATTACCATGAAATCTCATCTTGTAGGGGGAGGAAAGTACCTGAGTTCTGCTGTTAGCATATTTGATACTAACGCCCCAAACCACTCTCCTGTCATAGTAGCATTTTTGTTGTGTGGCTTGTCATATAAACTGCATCACATGGATTACTAATCTCAGTTCCCCACTGTAAATTAGATACAGATCATCTTACCTGGCGTTTTCTTCTGAACTTCTGAAATGCCTCCTGTATGCTCTGGATCTTTGTTTCTTTTTTATTTTTCTCCTGATCTACATCTTCAAGATACACTGTGAAACTGCAGTATTTCTTCATTGTTGCTTCCACGCTTTTTTCTAGGCAACTATTTTGGACCTGCAGTTATGAAAAAGTTAGCTACATAAATGAGTTGTAACTTGAAAGCCATTTGGAAAGGCAAATGATATCTTTGTAAGACCAAATTACATTACAATAAATCCTGCTTGTAAAAGACCTTTTGGTACTTATAGTTTAATTAGAAGAAATAGTGGAACAAAGATACCCAGATGTTCCATAAAAAGTGGTCTAGAAATATTCTTATAGGCTCTAAAGTAGAATCACCCACTTGAAAGAGCTCGTTGGTTGAAATCTATCTGGCAGGCACTCCACAGGTGAGCAGCTCCACTCTACAAAAACAGTCAATGTGAATTGATAAACATGCACAGTTTAATTCAAATTTCTAGTATAGCACATTAATGCCTTTGTCTTGATGGAGGAGTACTTGCCTTAGGAAGTTTTTTTGTGATTCCTCTGTCTTATGCAATAGATATAAGGTAATCTCCCACCTACTTCTCAATTGTTGCAGTTTACACAGAAAATTCAAAATATAACTGCAAAACTGCCTAATTTTGTATAATCTTGCCAGTAAGAATCAAACCATTTCTAGCAAATACAATATGTAATTTTGTTTGCCCAAGGGTGTTTCTGTATAAGCAAGGAATATGTGCATTTCCCTGGCTGTCATACAGAAACTTTGCTACCATTATAGTGGACTACAAAATTATAGCAACCAGAGACAGATTCTCTTGACAAGACACAAAGATTACAACCACTAGTATTTGTACTTCGGTTATGTAGGTCAATTCTACTCCAATGTGATAACTTTCTGCATGGGTGCCCAACTACATGTCACAAAAGTAATCTTGTAGGAAGGTAACAGGATAAGCAAATTCATTTGCAAAACACAAAGTATCATCTGCTATCTGGCATGTACAGTTTGATGTATCCTACTGCAGACTCTTAAAATAACTCTGTGAGAATTGCTATTGAACACTGAGGCCCTGATTTTTCCCCCATGTATCAGTGTAATCCTCTGAAGTTAGTGGAACTACAACAGTGGAAAATGGATGTGAGAGAGAAAGAAAACAGTCAAGCCTGAAGCTTATCTTTTAGCTCTGTTTGATCTAAAATAGGCATCCCTGCATGGTCAGTGAGAAATAATAAGTTTAAGAGAATGGCTTTGACTATCAGATATTTGTTTGCTTGCCATTCACTTAATTGACACAATCTAGAAAGTAAAAATACCAGAGATTGAGACTCATCTTGGCCAATTTGGTAGTGTGAGGGTGTTTATAAGGGCTGACACTTTTTCAGGTCCTATAGGTTGCATGGTACAGCTGCATCTTTTTGTCAAGCATTGCACTGCAGCACAGGATGGCAGTAGCCTGGGGAGGGGGATTCGATCAGCAGTTTGTCAAGTGGAACATTGCTGCACCCCCTTCAAATTACCTACCAGGAGAATAAAACACTTTCAAAATAATGCCAGCATGACTAGAAGTTGTGCATCTCTCATAATCTCATTTTAATATCCCAAATCTTTTGCCTTAGAAGTAGTGAGACTCACTGGAGCTCTGTCATTGGTCAAGATAATGAATAAGGGATGGACTACATTCAGATACCTCTAGCTTTCTACAATAACCCTCAGTCTCATTGCCATCCTCCAAAAATACTTCAAATAAATCTTCAGGATCACAGCATCCCTTCAGTCATAAAGCGAGCTGGATTTTTTTCCTGCCTTGGATAAAAGGAATCAGGTTATATGTCAGTTTGTCTTTAGCAGCATTACAGCATGCCTTCGTATATACCTTTCTGTAAAGGTAATTGCAGCATTCTGTAACATATGGACTGAAAAGTTATTGCACGCACAACCGTACATGAGCAAGGCAGAATTAGGTTTCCCTGTGGGCATGGTGGTGTTTCGCCAGCCCCTCATATGAGCCTGTGTACGATTGTCCCTTCTGTGTGTTGGAGACCTTCCTCTCAGCACTCCTGGTACTGCTTTGCTATACCCAAGACCTGCTTTGCCTTTCACTTTCAGAGGCAATGTGAGTAATGGCCTCAGCTAACAGCTCGGTGCACCAAATCAGGAAGTCATAAATGACAGGAAACTGTATTGTGCAGAAAGAGATGAATAAGAGGCCAGAACTGAATATCTATTTAAATACTAGAGAAGTGACTAGACTGACATTAATCTTTCATGGCCAGAAGTGGCAGAAAAAGCCCTTTCCATGCTAGCAACACAAACACTCCCCCTGTGGGCTCCTAGTGATAAAATACCATTGATAAACTACAGATAATATGGTCCAGAAAAGCCATAGCTCCCTTTCTGGTAGCTTTGATAAACATCTTTACTATCTTGGGTCTTATCTCCCAGCTGCTACTTCCTTTCATTTAAAGGCAATTTACAATTCTCCCTTATGTCTACTCCAGAACGTGTAACATTCTTGGACAACTCTCCTGTCAAGCATACTTCTATCAGATGTTCTTTTATCTGTTCTAATGATCCCCCCCCACACCATCTCAGAGAGCTGCCTGGACATATTTCATATGGAGAACTAAACAAGCAGGAGCAGGGGAAACACTTCAATAGTGCTACATAATCCTTTAAAAAAAATCAGCATTGGCTCTATCGCAAAAACAGCTTCTATAAATCATGCACCCATATTTAGTTAATTGTCTCAGCATGTCTATTAGCTTGTCTAGTGCATGCACAGGATGAGACCTTATACCATCCTCACTTGGAAAGATTACTGCAGAAATCTGGCTGGACTGCATGCCTCATTTATCTACTCAAAGCCAGCTTTCTCTTCCATGCTGAGAAATGTGTGTCCATGGACAGAAACCTAGTTTGGAAGGACCATCCTCTGATTTTTCAAGTGGTGCAGTAGTAATGACTTTGGGAATTCTAGCAGCCAAGATGGGTAGTTAGTGTATTCATTTACATTGCCAACATTTGGGATTCTTTTCCAGCAATTCTATTTCACAGCAGTGCTGGACTCTGAATTATGCAAACAGAACAATTTAAAGAACTGGCTATGGTTGTCAGCACATAAAATTTCCTTCTACCTTGTAAATTATTGAAATGTTTTGGTGATTTCTGATTCAAAAAGCACCCAATTTTCCATCTACAAACTTGAAAGTAGCATATCTTGCTCAGCACGGGCACATGTTACATACAAATGACACAGAGTTTTACAAAGTCCCCAGTTATTGAAAAATGCAATAAGTTTGGGTATTGTAAAAGCTAAACTATTCAAAGGATTTGAAGGACTGGCTCGTGCATACACTGGATCTGGAACTGTGATGTGACTGGACTCTTTTTTCATTATATATATTCAAGCAAGAGTTTCATTTGTGAAATTTTGATGGGAGGGGATGGTAAAGTCACAGGTTATGAAGCTTCAGAACAAGCTCAAAGTGATATATTCACCGAACATTAGCGCAAACCACAGTAAACAATGCAAAGCAGGAGAGGAAATATATTTTTTAGCACTTACGTCCACTGTGCGTTTACAGTGATGGACAGAATAGAAAGTGGAGAGAAGGGTGAGGCTGCTGTCTTGGTTAAAGGGGGGAAAATGTATGACATCAACAAGACAATCCTCTAAGTTAAAATTCAGGGTCATTACAGTATGCTCTCTCAATATTTTAGAGAACCTCAAAGTCCATTTCTAGAGATACAGACAGCTTGAAGAGGTATATGCTTTAACTACAAGTAATGCCTCAGGATATTCTACAACAGAAGTTAGCAAAGAAATTCTTGCTATTTTTCAGTGTTTACTTTGGGCATCTGTTTATGAGAAGCTATGACATATTTATCACTAAGTGTCAAATAGAATTAGAGAGTTGACAGCAGAAATTCAAGGAACATCTTTTTTATTTCTTTTCTTTTCTTCCTTATGCCTCTTGGGCAAGCTAGTCTGACTGGTACCACAGGTTTGTACAGTGTGGGTGAAGCATGAGGAGTGCTCTCTGGAGGTTCCCCAGCATCTTTTTGTGCTAAGAGTCTTCCTTGTTCTCAGGGAGTGCACTTAAAAGGAGTCTTCCTGCAAGGTTTTTGCTTTAGCTTTTGGGCACTGCAGCTTCGATACCAGGCTGCTTTCCAAAGCTACTAATCTGGAAACTTCAAAAGGCGTATATTTTTAAAATGTAAACCAGCAGCTTACTGTTCACATTTTCTTAAGCTTTCCAGTTATCTTCCTATTTGCCCAGCCAGGAAAATATTACTGGAAATCCATGCATATCTGGAAATGCTTTTTGTAAAGCAAGTTTCACTATTCTTACTTATCGTCAATTATTTCTCCCTTTACTAGAAAGGCCCATTTAAACGTCCAGAGGAAAGCAATGTTCCAAGGATTTTCTCTTAAATATATGTACTCTGGACTGTTTTGTCAAACTGGAATTTTGTTAATTACCCCATGGGCAATGCCTCTCTAGTCTCCCATAACCTAGATTTTGGGCTGTCTCCTGTACCAGTTAGTCTTATTCAACAATTTTTGTTCCCTTGCTGTAATATTGCCCATCTGCAGATAACTGCTGTTTTTTGTGCTCCTGATAAATGAACATGGTGTCACCATGCCCTTTGCAGTAGTCAGATGAGGGAGGAAAGGTTACGCCCAGGAAGTATAACAGCCTTTGCTCACTCACTGGAACAAAATGAAATGCTGTCTACGGTATTGTGCACCTAATGGGATTGCCCCCTCCTTGCTGGTTTCCTGCGCGGTGCAATGGTTCACTGATGACAGGTACAACGTTCAAGACGTTGGCATTAGTCTGAGGGCCATGCTACACATTACACTATGAGCTGCACAAATATCGATTGGCTGAGTGCAAGCTCGCAGCCACACCTCCAACTTGGGCGGCACATCTGCGGGGAGCGGTTCCACCTCAATGCAACAGGAGCTGGGTAATGTGGATCAAGAGATAATCCTGCCTTGGAAGGGCATAACTTTGAGCCGCATAGCATGTGCTTTAAGCCACTTAAGGCAGGCAAGGTTTTTTGAGTAGGCAAGGGTTTTTTTAGGCAGAAACGGGTTTTTTTCCTTACACCACTGAAACGTGCTAGCGTGCAGGGGTGAACATAACCACCCAGGGGTTACAAGCTCCAGCAAAATGAACACGTATCATGGCCCAGAGAAAGCCCGTCTGCGACACTGCGCCTGCGTAGGCTTCAATCCCTACTTCTAGGTCTCGTAGCAGTTTGTACGATGATTTTCTGAGCGAGCGTAGCCCGGTGGGTGCAAAAAGAAGGTGCTGCCATTACCCCTCCCGCACCAGCATCCCGTTGCACATGCGACGCCCTGTATTTCCGCACAAGATGCATCGCCAGGGCCCAGCTGGGCGAGGGCGTCACTTGCTCCCTCCCTCCCGCGCTGCCCCTGCACTGGGAACTGGGGACCCTTGTCATGCTAAAGCAGCTCCCCCCTCGCCCCTTTCCAAGCCCCCCCTGCCCATGTACCCATGTTGCAATGGACAGGATGTGAGGGAGAGGCCCAGCTCCATCCCCAACCCCCTCCCAATATCCTCCATCCTCCCATTTTTTTCCATCCTTCAGCCATCAGCTCACCTGCTCCCCCCTCCTCCTCCTCCCCAGCTCTAGTTTCCCCGAATGT